CCTTTGTACCTAAAGAGTCCATATTGGTACCATAAAGGTACATATTAGTACCTAAAGTGTACATATTAGTACCTAAAAGGTACCACCCCAGTGACAGCTTTTGTACCTTTATTTCTGAGAGTGTAGGGGAGAGTGGGGTAAGATTAGCCACTTTTTACTTGTGTGGTCCTCAAGATAAGGGAAAATGACGCAGAAGTACAATGAAAGTATCCTATCCTATCCTATCCAAATGAAAGTATTCCTATCATTTTAAATGTTCAGAATGTATCTATGACAAAGGGCTCTAAAAATAATGCTTCTTATAAAAAAGTGTTCCCATGGCTCAGTTAGCCCCAGGTTAGGGGTAACTTGACCCGAGTCGAGTCAGTGGGTAAGATGCACCATCTAGGTGTAAAATGATTGTCCGACTGAATCTGACTCAAACCCATGTGAAATAAATAATTTAAAAACTAATTTAATAATGTCCTTTTACAAACAGTCATATTTCTTTTCTTAAAGTTAACTTTAACAACATAAAACCAACCAAATTAAGTTTAAATTTCAATATTTAATTGTTTGCATTTCTGAAACAATAAGTTGAACACTAAAGTTGTAGCCTTCCTAAAAAGAGACTAAACAGAGAGTTTGTTGGCCATTAGTGACTACAGAGGACGGACTCACATAAAATTATTACTTCATAATTGTATTCGAGTCTTACACATGCTATACAGATAATGTAGAGTCGTGCATTAATTTGAGTGATGAGAGCTATTATGAGAGTGGCTTGGTGGAGCGCAGGTGATATATATCTGATTATAATGTGATGAAAAGCATTTTCTGGTTCTTATCAGAAAAGGATTTGGTGCACTTGCACACTGTCACTATCAAATAAACTGCAAATAATATGTATATATGCTCAACTAAACCAGTAATATATCACATTAAAATACCATTTTATAATTCAGAGATTTAACTTAACTACAGTGCCTTTTGGTGGGGTAAGTTAAAATGCTGACAATTTACCCCACAGCATTTGGCTCACTTTGCCCCATAGCTGACATTTTGGGGAAAAAAATAGCTACTGTAGCTTACCAGTTCAGGCTAATATTTAGCTAAATGATTTGCATGGTTTTATATGTTACTAAATCACCTATATGTATCATAAATATTTTTAGACCTGGATAAGTTTGCTTTGATGTAACAACCATTTTACATGTAACCATTTGCATTTGCTTCCGTCTGTTATGCTAAAGTTTACTTTGACAAGCCAAAAACCGTTTTTAAAGTAAATGGGTGCCTTCCATTCCCCCCATGTGTTCCTCCTTATCACAGTCTGGCAGAAATGATGGGTGGTTCCAATATACATCGTCACATGACAGATGTACAGTTGCCAAGAAACAGGGGGTGGGTCAACTTACCCCACTCTCCCCTACTTCCATTGAAGATGAGGCAGAAGCAGGCTCAGAGAGTGAGGAAGAGCCCACTTTTATCAAAACATCTACAATAATGTCAGTTATTACCGAGTGTGCTGTCTTCTCTTTTAATTGTATATTTGTAACAGCTGGATAATTTGTATTAACAAGCACCCACCCTCCTTGTGCCCCCTTTTTTAGTTTGGGGCCACTGCCCCTCAAAATGTCTGTGCAATGCCCTGCTGTCAGGTGCTGGTGCTGGTGCCACCTTATAGAACTTAATGGCACTAGTGCTGGTGTCCTCAAACGTTAGTCTGGAGCCCTACAATATTTCTCGAAGTCAGAAAAGTCATAACAGTGTTAGAAGAATGTTGTCTGTGGTATATTTTCACTGCAAAAAAAATAAGAAATGCCGCAAATATCACTGCAAATTTTGAGAAAAGCTGCAGCAAAATCAGTCATTTTAGGCCGCAAAAATCAGAAAAAAGTTCAGCGGAATCCTGGAGGGACTGACATTTATATAAAAATAGTGGCATTTTTTTTTTTGTATGTTCACATTGATGTTAAAATGACATTTTCAGATTTGTGACATTACTTTTTATGTACTGCTAAAACACTGCCAAACACCTTTAGAAGTTGTAGTGATTCTTTCAAAGAAAGCATGTGAAACATATTGGTTATATAATTTTCATTTGTAAATATTTAAAAATATAATTTCAATTGATTTTACACACTTCAAGCAATATCGTACCGCATATTGAATATGGCATTATTTAACAAGGTATCGCATATCGCATTTTTCTTCAATATTGCACAGCCCTAGTTAGAACTTAATTAAACTAACGACCCACCGTTTGAAAAGCGCTGTATAGTGTCAAGTTTCAGATAGGCTACATGTTACAGTGCACATAACTGTAAGTATCATAATCATGTTCATCTTCATAAAACTGACTGCACAAAGCATAGACTACAGTTTCCTGTGGCCTGATGTTTCACTTCCTAATTCACTCATAGTGTGAGTCTCGTCTCTTCTCTCACACTCGCTGTAATGGAGTTGTTCATCTTCATAGTCTTTCAGCTCCTGATGGAGGTTCAGTCTTACAGTAAGGGAACTCTGTTGTTTAATGTTAATTAAATACTGTATGTTCACATTTGTAGTGAACAAAGTGTCTTTGTCTAATATTTTTCTACATGTCAATAGTGCTCCATGTGAACCATAATTGTTTAGTCATAGAATATTTTGTATTTAATCAGCAGTTGTCTTATTCAGATTTTAGAACCCAAATACATATGATTAATATCAGAATATTATTGTGTTTGCACACATAGACCATGAGCAGATGTAATATACACTCTAAACAAAAATGGTGCTAAATTGCACTAATAGTGGTTCATTGGCTTGTAATCATGGGGGAACCACTTGCTTTAGAGGTGCTACAGCGCCTTTGTCAAATGGTGTTATGTAGAACCATAAGAGGAACCCCATTCTCCTCAGATTTTAGAGATGTTACTCCACTCTCATATGTTTGCTATGAATGGGAATTTACTACAATGGCAAAAGCTGTTTTGAATCACTTTTATGCGTTTCTGAGGTCAAAAAGTATTGTGTGGGGGCCCTGGAATATTTCCTTATGGGGGGCCTTGGGGGGCAAAAAAGGCTGAGAACCACATTATTTTCAGTAAATACACTGTATTTTAATGTTTTTTTTTATCCTTTCCCCAACTAGACTAAGAGAGAGTTAGAGAACCTTTAAAGAACTATACAGGGGCTTAATGGGTTCTATATACGTTAGCGGTGCTATATAGCACCTTAACCACCCTAAATAACCGCTGAAGAACCATTTTTTGTGTGTGTTGTTTCAGAATCTCCTACTGTAAAAGTATCTCCAGATGTCATAAGAGAGTCCAGCTCAGTGAAGATCAGCTGTGAGACTCCAGCAGATGTTAGAGTGAATCAGTGTTATTTCATCACAAACAGAGAAGAGAAGAATGTAAGAGTCAGTTCATCATGTGAGCTCGAGCGTACTGGTGCTGAAGTGCTCAGATGGGCAGGTGTAAAATCCCCTGTATCAATCTACATTAACTGCTTCTACACAATACACGAGCGAGGCATCAATAAACCATCATCTGATTCTCCTCCTGCCACAGTGACGGTTCTAGGTGAGATATTTCACTGCTGTCTTAGAAACTGTTACTGCTGTGTTTTAAAGTGCCCCTATTATGCCATTTCCAATATTGCCTTTCATGCAGTGTGTAATGCTACTGTTTGTGAATGTAAACGATCTGCAAAGTTGTAAGTGCACGATAAATAAAGTTATTCGCTGTGTCCGAAATCGCATTCTTCCCTACTGTAGCCTATAGTAGGCGAAAAACAGTATGTGAGGCGAGAACTAGAAGTATGTCCGAATTCATAGTATACAAAAACAGTAGGCAAAAAATACCTGGATGACCTACTTCTTCCGCCCGGATTCTGAAATGCGCATTTGATGGACACTTTACAATCCCATGAGGCCACAGGAGAGGATTTATGAATGGCACTGGTAGGTCATCATGTGACAGTAACAACATGGCAGATGTAGTACGTCCGAATTTCGTTCGTTCTACCCATATTAATACTATATAGAACATATAGTATTAATATGTAGCACCTACTCAGACAGTACGCCATTTCGGACGCACCAACTGAATCTTAGAACTGCTTTGAACGAATCGTTTGAGAATCGTTGGAAAATTAGGTGATATTAAATGCATATTTTGAGAAAACAAAAGCGTTTTTTGGCCTTATAATCCTATTGTAGGAGACTCCCTAAACAATATTAGGAACCTTAAAAATGGCATAATAGGGGCACTTTAATAGTTGCGGATTATTTCTCTTCAGATTCACTTCCGAAACCCTTCATCAATGTTAGTGATGACCAGCTCAGCATATCATGTGAAATACCACTTTCAGTCAGAGCTGATTTCATCTGTAGCCTCTACACTGAGGACGATGTTCTTCTGTATCAACGGGTCTCTCAGTGGAGTCAGTCTGGAAAGAATCTTTGTATGTTTTATATAAGTCGTAGTGAACTCTTCACACGATCAGTGAACATCAGACAGCTGATCTGTGTTTATTCACTCAAGACTGAACCTGAGATCAGATCACCACACAGTGACACATACACCATCAGAGGTGAGTTATTATTGTTATCATTTTTAAAACATGAGCACATTTAATGATTAGAGACACCTGTATAATTATTTAGCCAGTATGATTTATTATGTAGGCAAGTAGTATCAAAGTCCCTTTAAGGCAAGTCATGTCACTCAACGGCCATCTTTGAATGCCTCTCGGGTATGCAAGTGCAGCTCCTATCTCTGTGAATGGGGAAACATCAAATTCTCCAAAACTCACAAAGCTTATGATTAAATTTCATATTTGAAATCAACTTTATGGATTAGCGATTGGCTCATTTACTCAGAAGGTGGGGCTTCTTTTGATAGAGAGGCCATATTGCGTGTTGCATTTTTCCCCATTCAAAACCTATTGAAAGGGTCTTTATGTAAAAAAATCCATCTAGACTTTTTACAGAGATAGTATCATTCTATTTTTCTCATATTGGTTTTGTTGTTGTTGTTTTGAAGTTACTGACTTGACTTTTTTTTTATTGATGAATCTTTAAACTATTTTTTTATACTTCCAAAAACTATAGAATACCCAAGACGTGTCACTTTGGCAAGTGAACAATCTGATGCATATCAAAAACAGTTGACATATCAGAGAGTCAGACTATGTCTAAAAAAAATCTACAGAAACTCCCGTCTACCTAAAATGAAATCCATAATATGATGGTGAAAAGAGAAACAGTTCAAATCTGCAAGTTATTTTAATATGTTCTTTGTAAGTTCTTATTGGGTCATTCTGTTCTGCATCACCTTCTGGACTTTACAGATATTAATACACTAGTGTTAAAGTCAGAAGTATTTTCATTAAAAGTAACCTTTAGAAATGTGCTCTAGTTAAACTAATCATATACCTTATTGATTGTGATTTAATTAATTATGATTTTTTTTAAATAATGGCAATAAAATGAACAGGATGCAAATAAAGAGCCAGTGATTGACAATTAGTTTACATGAGTGTGTCAAACAACTTCTGAAGTGTTGATATTATAATACAGGGCCCAGTTGCATAAAGCACCTTAAAGGGTTAGTTCACCCAAAAAAGAAAATTAGCCCATATATTACTCACCCTCAAGCATCCTAGGTGTATATTACTTTCTTCTTTTAGACAAATCCATTCGAAGTTATTTTAAAAATGGTCTTTGATCTTTCAAGCTGTTTAATGGCACTCAGCGGATGTTGCAGTGCATCAATCCAAAATAAGTGAAATAAAAAGCGCCCATCCATAAAAAAAGTGTCTCACACA